GCTGGGATAATAGTATAGATTGTGAAGCTCATAGAGCTTGCTTTTTTAGCGGGAATTTGCGCTATACAAATGCTATCTATTATTATTAATATTATTATTCAATTACAAATAGACATTATAATGTGTGCCTTAAAGAACAAAATTAATTCAAAGTTGATGTTGCTTAATTATTCAAGGAGGGTGTTCGCTTTTTAAAACTGCAGTTGTAGACCACTTTTTTCCATACAATCTCCGACACACCCCTGGAAATATTGAATAACCCGGTTGCAGGTCTCTGGGTCGATTCTTCGGACGTCCGGATTAACATTGATTTTCAACTGTTCGATTGTTTCTGAGGTGTTTCCCCAACTCTGTCTGTCAAAAAAAAAATAATAATAACCCAGAGATAATGAGGTGGGGGTGGGGGGAGGGGGATGTGATACCATTTATTTGTAGAATTTTGGCTTGCAAATAGTTCCCCAAGGCTTTCTTGAAAACATATCAAGGCCAATCTTCAGGCGTGGATTGTGGCCTCATCCCACTAGAGCCAAGTCTGTACAGCACAAAACATTCTCCCCAAATCTGTGCAAAACTTTCTTGACACGATCAGACATCTATCTGTAGTCACTTTTGTGGTTTTTCCGTCATCGTCCTGAAACTAAAATTGGGCCGATCACGCCCTTGTAGCTGAACGCTTATTAAAAGTAAAATGTTGCGTTTTATCAATTCTATATAGGTTAAAATTTTTAATTTCTCGAATATGCTGACTGATTTTCTTCATATTTACAAACCTGATGTCCTCATCGTTGAATTTCATTTATTCGAATTTGTAGGGGGGGGGGGGGTTTATCAGTGTAGAAATAACCCAATTATCACACTTTTAGAGCGCCATCTTTTTAGGAACCTTGTACAAGTAGCCCCTTACACAAACCACACTCGTATGAGCCAAAAGATTCGTTTTAATTATCTCATTAGTGAGTTGCATTGTTTAATAACGATGTCAGTTTACATCGACAATTACATTAGATCTATACACTCCTGTTCTTCCAGATGGATGACAAAATGAATCAGACAACCCCGGGACAGAAGACAGAGCCTTTGTTGACATCTAGCCAGTACGTTACTGTGCTGATCGTACTGATTATACTCACGGCTCCGCTCTGTGTATTGGGCGTCATAACTAACCTCCTCAACATCTGTGTGTTTGTGCGCATGCGGTTACAAGATGCTGTCACATTGTCATTCTTTGTTTTGTCCATCAGTGACTTAGGTACCGTTTTCTCACTACTGATCATATGTATCAGTGCATGCCTTGACGTATTGGATAAAAAAATGAGTTTTCTATTTCCTGTAGCTCCGCCAAGCATCTCTTTGATTACCGTTGAATTCACTCATGTGTTCCTACTTATGTCCTCACTATGTACGTGCTATTTGGCAGTCACACGGTCTATGTGCGTCTGTATGCCATTTAAGTTTAAATTTTACTTCACACGTGTCAGAACTATCATCATTCTCAGCATAATAGGATGCATGTGCTTATCACACCTAGCAATGCTCTCACAGTTTGAAATAAATTTCATAATAAAGGCAGGTAACTTTACTCAGGCAGTGCTCACACCCCGTAAGACGTTTGCGCTCGCTGTGTCAGTGTCTGATTATTTTAAGGGACCCATTGTAACCGTTGGATCTGAGATAGTTGTCACCATCTCTGTGTGTCTCATGATCTACAAAATGAAGGAAAATGCGAAATTTCGACAACTCGCTTCGGCTAGCAAAATACATTGCCAGCCTCGCACAGCCAGTACACATCTCAAGCAAGATGCTGATTGTGTTTTTGTCCAAAATATTCCTGGTCGTGTCTCAAGAACTGCCATGGTAAGCAACATGCAGACTGCCAACTTTTCTGTTCCCACACGAGAAATAAGAGTTATCAAACAAGTTGTTTTGGTTGCTGTTATTCTTGTCCTCTTCAAGCTGCCAACAGTGGGAGTTATTATGCTTCGATACGTGAATCAAGAGTTCAATGCCGGTGGAGTCTATTTTAGAACCATAGGTGTTTTAGGCGGCTGTAGATTCATTTGTGAGTCCATCTCTGCTGCCGTCAATATCTTTGTCTACTATCACTACAACACAAAGTACAGACAGACTCTAAGGCAGCTCTTTTGTCTCAGGAAAGCAACAGAACAGTAAGATTATGTCTGGCGTGCGACCAAACCCCGTGCCATGAGCACGTGGGGTTAAATGTCAACTAATCAAATGTCATTGGCCTTGACCTTGGTGGTGTCTTTATGAAAACCCCACATTCTCAAATAAGTATTGTACACCCTGTTCTGTATATCCGTATCAGAACCACGTAAACATTGTGACAGTTATTATACAAATATATTTTGGACAAGACAATGACAATCTTTATTGATCTCGCAGGGAAAAATTTGGCTTGGTCGTTAACAATGGCAATAGACGTTACAAAAGTTAGACTTAAAGGTGCACTCACACAAACGACTTAAAGGTGGACTTTAGGCCAAGTAAATACATGTCTCACGGGACGGGACATCCCGCTACGTAAAACATCCATTCTCTCTCTCTCTCTCTCTCTCTCTCTCTCTCTCTCTCTCTCTCTCTTTCTCTCTCTCTCTCTCTCTCTCTCTCTCTCTCTCTCTCTCTCTCTCTCTCTCTCTCTCTCTCTCTCTCTCTGTGTTTCATTTCTAGCACTGTGTGTTCAGTAACCTCACTGCAGTTGGTACGAATGAAATTCTATATCTGTCTGTTCTTGCTTTTTTGGAAATGTATCGTTTACTGGGGTCAATAGTTGAAATTCCGATGTCAGTGGGTGGCTATGGTCACTAAGCATTATTTCCTCCTTTTTTAGAACGTTTGTCTTGTGCAGATATTCAAAGTTACTTAGGTCTCTACCAATTGTTCATGATCCCTTTCTTATCAACTTGTTTAGTTTTATAATGTGCTGCCTTCCCAGATTGCTACCATAGCAAGTGTTACCAAAATTTATCAAAGTTTCTATTGTGATGGTGTAGAAAGAGGAGTAGAAGTAGATTAGAGTCATAATATTTACATACCGTTACCTATTTGAAATAAAGTTATAATAGACTCCACTGTTAAACTATTCGCATTTAATCCAATCGGAACAAACAAAGACGTCGACAGTCTAGTGGTTAGACTACAGAACTCGTTATCGTCAGGTTGTGGGTTCGGTGGTTCGAGCCGCAGGCACGACGTTGTATAGTTGAGAAATGCTCTTTACAATAATTTTCTACGTTTGACTCTTACGAGAAACAGTGATTTTTGGTCAGAATGTGTTTAAGCGCCTTTAAATGGCAGCTGCTCTGTACGCTTCGCGGGAAGTTGAGATTGTTTCTGAATACTATCAGGTGTGCTGGGGAAATAATATAGATTGAGAAGTGCATACAGCTTGCTGTTTCGCAGAAATTTGCGCTTTACAAAATAAATGTTATTTTACCTAGTTGTATTATTATTATTATTTTTATTTTATTTTTTAATTATTATTATTATTATTGTTATTATTATTATTATTCATATTATTATTATTATTATTATTATTATTATTATTATTATTATTATTATTATTATTATCATTATTATTATTATTAATATTATTATTACTGATGATTATTAATATTAATATTATTATTACTGATGATGATTATCATTACTATTACGATTACTATTTTTTTTTATATTATTACTACTACTATTATAATTATTATAATTGTTATTATTGTTATTATTATTATTATTAATATTATTGTGAAATCTCCAACGACAAACTTTTGTATTTTCAAATAATTTATGGACTCTCTTTTTAATGAGTATTCAACTGTATTCAACTCCTTACAACTATTTCGTAGCTTACTGTTTTCATTTAACAAACTGGAACCAACCATACATTATTATTGTTTTGTTGTTTTACGTATTTTACCTGTAAACATTTGAAAACTTTCTATTGCGGAATCTCGACCGATAAAAATTTTATTATCAGCTATGTTTCCTAATACTGATTTAATAAAATTTGATTAACATAAGAACTACATTTCGTTCACAACCCTGTCGTATCTTGCTGTTGTCATTAAAACAGTTAAAACCCAAGCTTTTGTTATTTTGCTGGGGGTTTTTTCACTGAGTGCTGGGTCCTTTGAAAAAAGAAAAGCATTAAATATTACACCAGTATTTGCAGACAAACACATAGAACGATAGTATTTTCAGTCACGAGTAGCCTGCTTTGTGTTGATATTACACGACTAGACGACAGAACTGATGACCGATGCTGTTTTTCTCACTCAACGTCTAAACAAAACCAGATGAAACAACTTAGTAGACCTTGATGGTCTTGGTAAACCAAGAGACGTAAATATAAAGGTATTGCTTTCTTCGAGCAAGTTAGTTCCGATACACTTACTCTACAGACGACGATGATAACTTAATAAAAAAAAGCTTGGACATATCCAGTCGCAATGCTGGCACTCCACCGTGTGTCCTCGCTTTGTCAAGACCACACATCCTGAAAAGAAATGCAATACTAGTCCTTTCTGCCCCAATTGCCATAGCCAGCAAACAATCTTCATCTCGTAGTACCAAGTTGGCTTCAATAACGCGCTATTTAAGAAAACAGGACGCGATATGGCTGCTCATTTCAGGAGACTTATAAGACAGTCTCCCCGCAAGTTGTGACTTTGGTCTCTGGCTGATCATATGTGAAGTCAGTACAGCCAGTCAAGAGGTTGGCCATTTCTTCTTCTGCCGACCTAGCACGACCCAAGGTTAACGACAAAAAGTCGCGCAGAAAAAGGAAACGGTCCTTTAGATCCGTACAGTGCCTACTTTCCAGGTACTACTCTCAAACCACACCGTTTCTCCTCCCAAAAACCACCCGGCAAACAGCAGTCCATTTGGAGGAGTCACAGTTCAACGAAGCAGCGGACCTTTGTGCTCGAAACCTAGAAAGTGTAATAGTGGTCTTGTCCGATGACTCCGACCTCCCATTGTAGATTTGCAATACTCAAAGGCCACACTGTGCCCTGTTGTGGCCTGTATCCAGGAGACAAAGTTCACCATGGCTTCAGCCATAGACTTAATAGGTTTTGCTGAGCATCATCCAATTCACAATGACAACCAGATTGCTTCCTGTGGAATCACCCTCTACATCCACAACAAGACACTCCATAGACAAATATACCTTAGTATGACCCTCAAGGCTATTGTTGTACGGGTCACTCTGCACACACCAATCAAAAACTGCTCCATTTCTGTTTAGCCACATTACCGATCTAAATGACTTAAATGACCATCTCCCAAAACCCTTTATTTTGTTGGAGATTTCAATGCTCACAGTCCCCTTTGGGGAGATGAACCAACTGTCATCCGTCTTTAAAAAGATAAATCTCTCTCAAACCGAAACAGATCCACTTTTAACACATTATCCATTTTCTGCACCCCCTGAGCTGGTCCGAGGTTTTCAGTGGTTTGTGCTGAATGAAAGTGCGTATCATTTTCCAAGGATTCCTTGGCCTTTCTGTTGGGATCAACGGAGAACACCCTTCCACAGATACATTTAAAAATACCGTTAAAAGCTACTACACCTCCAGTCTGTGGGAGAAACAGGGGGCAACTGAGCAACAAACTCCACAATAATTATTATGCCCAAGCCGTGACCATGAAAACCTTCAGCTCTCCAGATGAGATGGATTTATAAGATAACGTAGTGGACACACTTCCTCAACACATAGATACCTCTCACAGGGAGCCGAGGAGCCCTGCTGTCTCAGATGCAACATGGATTTTACCATCAGACATATACTGATGAAATACACAACTTTGGAGAGACCCTAATGAATTAGTTCGAATGCACGTATTAAAAATATGTTTTCCGTCGTTGACCCCAACACAATTCTCCATTTCAAAAAGGCTACTGGCCTTTTCTCTAAAATGCAGACGTTTGTTATTCTAAAATTGTAAAATCTGGTGTTTTATCTTAAAAGAATATGTGTCCAGTTTTGGACGAAATTGAGATATCGATTGCACCTAATAGTTTAAGACACGTCTTCCTTTTAACTTAGTCTGTAATTGATGTTTTAATATATATGGCAAGAAAGGCGTTTTGAAGAAAGTCAACGCAACTGGCTTTTGAGAGGTTTATAAATATATTTTTTTTTTTTTGTTTTTTATTTATTTATTTTTTTTTTTTTATTTTTTTTGGGGGGGTTGAATCCTCCTGTACATTTTACGAAACTAGATATCTTTTAAATAAAACTCCACAACTGGTGGCCATCTTTTAATACTATTTTACTATAAAATGTGTAACCTTTAAAAATTATTCTAAAAAGCAGGCGCGCTGTGAACTGACGTTGAAACAACTTGCTAATATGACAGTTTTGTAGTTTTGAGAGCTGTAATACTCTCACTAGACCTATTTAATTAAGAATGTGTCATTCAACACCATAGATCGGGGCGCGGCCACTCTCTAATCAGATAGTGCCAGTCATTCCTGACGTGGACATCAAAAATGTTAATTCTAGCTTACTGAAAGCCTATTCCATGTTTTCTTCTTTTTCTTCTTTGAGTTCCCTGCTCAATTGTAATTGACTACTGTTTCGTCAACCTGCAGTGCAGCTGATATTTACGTATGTGACCATGTTTCCTACTTCACCGAGCCACATTCCGATTGCTAAGTAATATAAATTGTTATATTGGCTAAAGTCTTAAAATCTTAAGTTTAGTATGGATAACTTTTGAATTTTGACCGGATGGGGCAGAAGCCAACTTGTATCGATTTTACACCACCAAGATGTCTTTAACGTGCGCAAGTTGTGCATAAGACCTCCGAGATTTTTTGCCCATATTCTTTAAGGCTAGATGTTTTATCTTACCTTCCATGATATTAGGAGTGTGGCTTAAAAATAGCTGGAAGAAGGAGCCAGAAGTAGCAGTTTAAAGAGCCTGGGGAGGCAGGGGTTGGGGAGAGGGAGGAGGAAGTGGAAATGAAAGCATAACACATAACATGACTAGCGAACGGGAAAGGAGACCGTAGAAGAATCTATTGCCGTCTCTGCCAGAGTCAATCCCAGGACCTCTCAAAGGAGAGGCGAACACCTTAGCCTTAAACAATAAGAGGCCCTTCGTCTAAAAATAACCTTTTTTGTCGTCCATTTTTTCAGCACAGTAAACCTTCTTATAATTCCACATCTATTTGACTAATTTGCATAAAACACACACAAAGCTGTGAAGGAATAACTGCCCAATGCACTAACATTTTAGTTTGATCGTATATAGATGCACTGTTGTGATTTCGCAGATATTTGTTATGGCAGTAAATAACAGAGCTATATTGTGCATCAGCTCAACAACAACGCTGTAGACTGAGAGTTTAAGGAAGAATGTTCATTCCGGTTGTCACTCGTAAAGGCGGGATGTGATCTATCTTTAAAGGACACGCTAATATTGTTAAGCAGCCTTTTTCAAACGATAGAATTATATATGTTGCACCAACGTTGAAAGTCGTTCTGCGAGATGTTAATTTTTTTTCGACACATTCAAGATATTGAAAATCTCAAATTGATATCCCCCCCCCCTATTAAATGGAGAACAACACCGAATCTTCTTTTCACCCCAACCCCCCCCCCCTTAAAAAACCACACCCTCTCCCCCTCCCCGCTCATAAACAAAGCAAAGCAAAAACATCCCAAGAAACAAACTTTACAAAAACAATAACAAGTGAACGACAACAACAGAAACAACAACAGCAACAAGAATAACCCGGTAAAAAGAAAAGTCAGATCCACCTCCAGTAATTTCCAACATACGTGGGTGGTTAGTGAGTTCTCTTGCGTGGTTTGCTCCTGTTTTTCTATCAAATATATCTATCTGTTGTCCTTAATTTTCCTCCTTTTTGGGGGTTTCTTACCCTCTTGTAACAATTCTCACCTTGGAGACTGATATGACCTAATTGTGCTATAAAACTCTCACTAAAACAAAAACAAACCGTCCCTCATCTATTTACGATATCTGGTCTGATTTGTTGGTCACATAATTTGTAGTGCCAACTGAACATAAAGGAACGAAATCTATTTTTTTAAATTATAATGATAAAGTTAAAACTTTTTTAAAACATTAATTCAATTTTTAAAAAATTTTAAAAACCCTATGAAAGTGTCTAAAGTCCCCACGGATTCAATAATAGTACAAAATATAGAGAGCGAGTCAGGAACCTCTGTCAGAGCCTCCCCTCAACCGAAATACTCGATATCAATGCTCCCCTCACTGGAATGGAACTTGAGCATTCTGCTTACGACAATGAAGTGCCTATCTGCTGCACCATAAACAGCAGTGAGCTTATGTGGGAAAGGACGTCTTATGGGGAAACTATTTCACAGAAAAGTTGTAAATAAACCATCGAACAGGCAAATGTTCAAATAGCTCTCAAAACGGATCTGCCATCCAAATTTAATGGCAATTTCTTTTTGTTTGTTGCTTTGATACAATTCCTTCCACACAAAAAAGCGAAAATACCAAAGAAAAGTATTCCTTTTCTTGTCAGGGTGTGGTTTATGTTCAGTGCTATTACAAGTAAATAACACAACTACCCCTAAAATTTACCCTGTTACCTCAGTATTTTTCAGTTGGTATTTGTTTTAACTCCTTTTTAAAAAGTAGGCAGAAAAGATAAAGATAAAGATAGAGATAGAGAGAGAGAGAGAGAGAGAGAGAGAGAGAGAGAGTGAGAGAGAGATGGGGAGGGGGAAAGAGAGAGAGGGGAGGAGGGAGGTTGATGGGGAGAGAGAGGAAAAAGTAGAATGGAGAGAGAGTGGAGGAAGAGGGGTAGAGAGAAGGAAAAGGAGAGGAAAAGGGAACGGGAGTAGGATAGGGAAAGGAAGAAAGAAAGGGGGGGGGGGAAGGTGTCTGTGTGGGGGTGGGGGGGGGGTTAAGTTGACAGGCTTCGGGTAGGAATCGTGATTGTCTCCACGTTATAATGGTTGTCTTTAAAATATCCTGGTAGCTCAAGTACCGGTCATTGAAAACGCTGTTCAGTCTTGTAAGCATTCCAATTCAACACCCACAGAACCTCACGCAAGATATATGTTCTTTTCCTTCCAAAGGACAAAGAGACATACTGCGTGACATCCATTTAGGCTCCCAGGAGCAACATTCGTCTTCTTTGTTCCTGCCCACTAAACGTTCGTTTGCAGTTGAACAAACTTAGGAAAAGAAGGTAAAGTACATTACCAAAGAATAAAATGTTGAAAAACGTGGCTAACGATAGATGTGAGACAGCGTGGAGAAATGTGCTCGTCCGAATAGGGAAATCAGAGAAACAGCCATTTTTCCGCTGATTATACAATTTTTATTGAGTTTTTGTTTTAGGCCTCAACACCTTTTATGTCCATACAAATTTCCAAGTGAATTTTACTGAAAAACGTTGATTAAAGGCACAAAATATGTCATTTATTCCGTTTTCAAGGACTCTTTAGCTTTGGAGTTACCAAACTTTGGCAGCCATTTTCTTGCTAATTTCGCCATTGAAACCAAGCGATCTCACATCCTTCAATGGCAACGTTTTCTACTTCTATTTAAGATCTCGTAGATAGATAGATATTTATTTCATTGAAAGCAAGGCAAATGAAACAGCTGTCAAATGGTACCAATAACTCCATATGTCCAAAATTGACGAGTGCCTGATTCCACCGCGTCTGGACACATAACTTTGG